AAACACCTACATTAAGTCCAGATGCCATAATCAACATCTATTTTGACTTAAACGCAATTCACAATTATTCTTAGCCGAGCTTGATTCGACTAAGTTGTTCGTGAAGTCATGTGGACATTGGAATACTTAGACTCGACACTAAGACTCAACCAAATACACCTGGGAATTCACATAATCCAACACCAACATTGACCAAGTCAAACACTTAAAGAAACGGAAAACGAGCAAATTTACAGTTTTTATTGCAAAAGCCATATATTTAAAACTACTCGATTTTAAACTTAAAAATAAGTTGGTCAGGTTATCATTCGAATTAAACTATGAAATTTTAATCAAAATTTCACCTCCCAGAAATAAGCAAGACCAACAATTTCAGCCCCAAATTCAAAGCATGCTATTTTATAGAATTCAAGAAAGTTTTTCAACAAAAACGAGCCTAAATTAAAAACCTAAGATAATGAACGATTAAGGCCTTCAAATTTTTATCTAAGGAACTTCATCATGTAAAAATATCAGCCTTAAACACTTAGCATGTGAATTTATAAAATTAAAACAACATTCAGAAAATTTTTGAATTTTCCACATAACAGAACGTAAATGAATTCCAAAAATTTTCATCTTTTAACAACAGGAATCTACACATACAACAAGCATGTCAGCCAAGTTTCAGAAGTTTTCAATAACTAACCCATTTATATTAATTCGAATAAATTTCTGCAGAATCAGAAAATAAATTATTAACCATATCAAACTCAGTGCCAAAATTATGAAAATTTAACACAAACCTTACAACAGAAAGTAGAACAACATACTCGAATTTCATAACTGTTGGAGCACAACTCAATTTAATAGGCAATTAACAAGATTCTTCTCAGAATTTCATACAATCATTAAAAATAGCTATACTTAATACTTTAATCCGAAACTTTTACACAACATATATATTCAGCAGAGGGACTAGCACATAAAATTTAACAGCAATACGAGCAGCATACAATTTATCATAATTCATATACTAAAACAGCGACAATACAAGTTCATTAATTCATAACCGACTCGTTTTACGAAGAATTCGTCCGTGGCCTTCGCCATAATCCCAAGAACTCAACAATGTTCCATTTTCCACAGTCCTATGCACGAATGACGAGCTCTCGTTCGATTTCTCAAAATCGACGAGTTCGTCTACACACATTCACATATATATCGACCCAAATTCGAACTCATGAACACAAAATTTAACATAGGCACAATCACATGAATTGGATAATCACATTCAACCATAAAAAACACAACATAAACGAGACATAAAATTAAACAAGACGGGTCGAGCCTTGTACCGTTCTCGGGATCGATCGAAAATTAAAATAAAACGGGATATAATATTTATACACACAATAATTTAAAATAATAATAATAATAATGATAANAATTAGTTACAATTAGACAATTGGTAATATTTTAGACATTACTAATAATAATACTAAGAATAAATACAATCATGAAAATTAGGTAATAACAATAATAATAACAATATTATTTATATATATAATACACACAAATAAAATATATCATAATAATATTAATAATAATACACACATTTTAATTAAATAATAACACTTAGACATTTAAGCATTTAATGACAATTTGGCAAACAAATAATATTAGACACTTAATAATATTTAGACATTCAATAATAATAATAATAAATAATTCTCAAATATTCTATAATCAAACGGGGCATTACAGAGTGTGTACATATGAGCATAGTGAATGATAGGAGGTATATGTGATGATTTGTGTTCATGCTGGGATTATGTTGTCAATTATTATCTGAAATATATCGCATAGTATTCCCACAGTGAGCTTGTTGTGATGCTATTGAGGGATGTAGTGTGGTCTTACATGTATAAGAACCTCTTATGTTTTTGCTCTTTCTGATGGGTTTCTGCTACTTGTTTTTGGCTGGTTGTTTTTGATTGGTGGTTGTGACGAACTATGATTTGGACGTTTTTTTTATGGATGATTGGTTAAGTTTGTTTTATTGCGGCTGCAGGTTCTGTTTGATTTTGACTGTATACTTGCATCGTGATATTTCTGTTTGCTGATGATGAACTGACCCTTGTATATTATCTGGTGCATTTTTACTTGTTGTTCTAACATTGTTACAGGTCATCTTCAATACATGATTTTCGAACTAGATGACAAAGGGGGAGATTGAAAGATTTATTTGTGGCAATCAAGTTCAAAAATAATATATTGAAGATGTATTCTTGCAAGTATAAAAAGGGGAAGTTTTTGTATTTGTACTTATATTTATATTTCTATTCGAATTATATATATTTGTTTATTTGAGAAAGATTTGCTTGATCTTATGTTGATATTTATGTTTAGGATCGGATATGCATGAAAGAGATAAGAGAGGCATGCATGAAGAGAAGATCTTGGAGAGAGAAGATAGAGATCAATACTTTCCATATTGTGGTTTATTATTCATACATTGTTCGAGCTTCAAGTGTCATTTAGTTTTTAGTACGCAATTCAGTTTTTCGGTGTTCTTATGTCATCGAAACTGAAGTCATTTTGTTTTTGTTTCTTTGTTTTATTCAAACACTATCGTGATTAGTACTTAGAGATTAAGTATTATTTTTGCTCGAGGGATTCGAGTGTAAGAAAGTCCACAGGACGTGGCTGGAGAAGTAAGTGATAGAATCGAGTGTAGTTGTGGTTAGGCTAGAAGGGAGTTCAAGTCTTGTAGGTCCAAACTATACAAGTGTGCACAATCGATTTGTCAATGAATGATCTCTGAGGAAAAGAGGGATACTCCCCCGAAGAGTTTTGAATCTCTGGTTTTTCTTGCTTCCGCTAGTTCAATTATTTATTAGTGTTGCAACACGAATTACGAATTACAAGTTAATTGTGTTTTAACACTGTTGAGCGCACTCATAGTTAAATACCCACGTTTCAAATCTCACTCATATAATCATGAATAAACATCAATAGAACATGCGTAGAACATCGAATTTTCCTCTCTTTTCGTGAAATCTCACCGGCATGATCTTATTCTAGCATCCTAGACCCATCCAACTACTTAAGCAAGCATAATTATTCAACTTCCAGACTTTAAACACTTCTATAAAACCATCTTTTGAAAATCATGATCCAAGATCAAACTTGAAATTTCCTTAAACATCATTAAATCTCATCAAACCCATCAAATCTTGATTAATCTTTTATTATCTTGAATTATTATCATTATCATTACTTATTGAACACATAATCTTAGCCCATGGTAAGGAATAGGGTCGGTTTACCGTTCTCGGGAAAAAGAGAATAAAAATCGGCTCGTCAAAGGTTCGGGGCTCGGCTTCCTTGCGTGGCGTAGGGCGTGAAGAATAAGACCCGACTTCTTTTTGTTTTTCTCGTGGATAATTGACGTAGGAAAAATAAATCTCACGTGGATGGGGCTTTATTTATAGTGCTAGGTTTATGAGACTTGGAATAAGAAAATGATTGCTTTTTCTTGTAGGGATGGGATTCTTTTTGCTTGGTGATCAAGAAAATGATTGCTTTTTCTCTTTCTTTCGAATCAAATAGATGGGGATCAAGACAAGATCTCTCCTTGCTAGCTTAGGACTTTAATTAAGTAATTAAAAATTTTGATTCAAGGGGTTTTAATTAAGAAAAATCAAATAGATGGGGACATCTAATTAATCTCCTTTTATTCTCTATTACTAATAAAATTAAATGGACGAAGACATCTACTTAATTTTTATTTTAATAAGATTAAAATGTCGAGTTTAATAAATAATAAAATAAAAATGCATGAAATTAATTATGCTCTCTCTCTCTCATTTATGGCTTGACTAATGTGTTTAATCTTGGTTTTAATTCTAAAATTTTTTTAATCAAAAATAAAAATCAGATAGATGTCTTCGTCAATTTAATTTTTCTTAAACTTTTTAATCTAGTAATTTCTCTAATCGAATAATATCTAATTAATTAAGAAGTTAAGCTAAGTCTTAATCAAGAAAGGAAAATGAGAATTTTCCTAAGTACCCTATGCATATCTCAGTCATAAGGAAGAAAAATGAGTCCAAGATCCCCTCAAATTTCCCGTTATTCGTGGAGGGAGGGAGGGAGAGAGAGAAAAAAAATGAGTCCAAGTACCCTACACATTATATTTATGCATTGACACAATGTTAACAAATTTGTTGGAGGACGTCCTCGGTGATTAATTGATCGAATTTTAACATACTGCTTATAAATTTATAATTAATCTATACTTGGACAATTTAAATTCTATATTAATTAACCCAAAATTACTTAAAATACAATATTCATATGCATTCATTTACCTTTCAGGAAGATTTAAATGTTAAATATTCAAAGTCTTCAAAAATGTGAATGAAGTTGTCATAATCAAATGTCTTAATTCAAATATAAATAAGTTAATAAAAATATCATGAATTAAGCCATCAATGCTTAGCTTGCATCAAAGCAAATTTTGTTGTGGTGAGATTTGAGTTATCATAGTCAAACTTTGTAAAACACCGCACGATGACAGTGACACACAACCATTATTTAATATTCCTAGTAAAAAATATAACATCATTAATTAGCAAACAAATATTACCACCACGTGAATTATATGTACACTACTAGTATTTCATAAATTACTAGTATTTCATAAATGTCGAAAACATTGACAATCATTTTATCAACCCATAAAAATTCCATTGTGCATTTCGTCCTCTACAGACTACACACATTCTTGAAGCACATAAGAATTAGAAACAAAGTCTTCAAACACTAAATGATACGTTTTACATAACAAAGAGAAAAAGAAAAAAAAAAAAAAAAAAAAAATTATTTTATATAATTTTCTATTTTGCACATTCCGTATAACCCCTGCATGCCCTTAAGCTGACACCGAACCAGGACTCGAGCTTTGGGTAAATGGGTAACCTATCGCATGACGGTTATTGGGGAACATAACAAAGATGGAGCTTGAAACCGTCCCTAATACTGGCGGTAAAACCATGAGCAAAACCTTCTGTGTGGACTCAAACGACGGGTAAAAGCACTCAACCGAGTTGAGGTCCAAAAGGGCCACGACCCCAAAAACAACCAATGAGAAAAACGCGTGCACAAAGTCCCCAAACCTCAGCTTGTAGCCCGACAGGTCCGGCCCGGAAGAGTTTTTGGGCCAAAGCCCGTTTTTCGTGGCTATGCCATAGTGAGGGTTCCCTTGATCGTCGGTATAGCTGTCGGTGAATGAGGCAAAGCAGCACGAAAAGCCGCAGATAGTGATTAGTATTGCCGATAAGTACTTGTTGATGACGTGGCAGTGGCCGTTGTTTGTGAGGAGAGGATTGAGGAATTGGAACAAAAATACTGTGCCGGTCGGGAGAAGCTTGATGAGGTTGCCGATGGCAGTTAGGGTCGACTGGGTTCGGGTTCGGGTGGTAGACTTGGAAGACATTTTTTTTGAAGTTTGGTGTTTTGAGGTTTTCAACTAGTGTCAATGTGAAGAAAGTGTGTATTGTTTTTGGGGTTTTCTTTTCTTTTATTTTTTTTTTGGGATGGATTGTTGCATTGAGTTTTTATGGCGGGGGTTGTGGGGGTTGGGTAGGGGTTGCTTCTAAGCAAATGGCTCGAGCTTTTATGGCGGCAAGTAATTGAGATCATATTTTGCTTTCACTCATGGAAATGTGGCTCCTTTTGGCCTCAAGACATATATAGTGTCTCTAGATTAATTTTAAGCTCAACTTTTACTATATATTACAATATTTTTCATTTTTCACATATTTTTCACAAATAAATGTACACACAACCATATTCAAATGTCATAATGTAAAATGCAATATAAACAAAAGTTCTAATACAAACGTTATGCAGTTTTTGTAAGAAATATAACTGACTAACGGTTACGTCAACATTTGCGTTGTATGAAATATGATATATTTCATAAATGTTTTTTGACATATGCTTATTAAATGTGATATATATTTGTATAACGTATTCCTGTGTTATCTATCAATCAAAGTGGAACTTAACGTTAAACAAGATGTCCAACATAAAATAAGGGGTGATTTTGTGAGGCCTGGAAAGTATTTTTTTTNGGAAAGTAATAACTTCAATTCAGAATATTTCCTGAGACTGCATAGTAGCATGGTTTTAATAATTTACTTGCCTGGATAGTATCTAAAGAGAGGAGTATTGGGCAGCACATGTAACAAATGAGCAAGGAATTTTGGGATAACAAATAATAAGCCCAAGATTATAAGGAACTGCTAAATTTTTAATTGCAGCATATTATTCTTAGTGACATTTGATAAGTCTGTTAATAAGTTCAGAGTCATCTATAAGGACTTCCCTTGTTTCTAACTTCATCATGGTAGGTAAACTTATAGATCAGATTATAATCAGTTACAAGTTATATCTACTATCCTTTTTGCTATTACGAATAACCAAGGTTGAACTATTTTTCCAATTTTGTTTTCTTTTCTTAGAAAGTTATTATCCAGAGTGATTACAGATTAGGCCGAGTTCTATACGTATGAAATATGTAGAATGAATAACTACAATACGTACACACAACATGATGCGTTTAAATAACACAAGTTTCATTATATATCACAAGGTAAGCAGTTCTTGTCCCGATGTTCCCAAAGTTCTTATTCATATCTTCCTGCCTCGCTCCTCATATGTGTACGTCCAATCACAGATTGATCTAGAAATGTCACTCAGGAGCATGGACGAAGCTACATGTATTCATAGGAGGGTAATTGCTCCCCTCAAATTTTAATTTATCCCCCATTAAAATTTATTTTTGCACTCCCAAATTTTTTGGTTTTAAACGTCACTCACCAAGCTAACTTGTCCATAATTGTCAATTAACAATTCAACACTTCTTTTATTTTACTATTAATTTTGTATATTAATTATTATTATTCTACAATTTTAATTGGCTCATATAAAAGACTTCAACTCTCTTTAATTGCCTAGGCTAGGATTCGTATTTTTTGACCGATTACCGAAAACTGAACCGAACCGAACTGATGAGAAAATAAATCGAACCGAACCGACTTATGTGTAACGGTAATCGAAAATCAGTTATTGAAATGTTATCGGTTCGGTATCGATTATGAACTCATTATGTCATGTACCTACAAAAAAAACAACTTTATGTCACTTCAATAAAGTATTACTTAATCTTAAAATTGTGTTACTATAGATCATAAGTAGCATTTTCACGATGCTACTGTTGCCCCTTGCTACCTATTGTTTTATCTAACACTTTTATAGTATTAAGCAACACTTATTATAAATGCTACATTAAATAATGTATTGTAACACTAATTAGTATCATTTTCTGAATGTTACATATAACCTTCAACTAACACATTTTATGCAATATGTATCAATTTCTTGTAACACCTTTTTGCTTATAGTAGCATTCAATAAATCAATTGTATCTCTTTAATCAATCTTATGTAGCTTTTTATATTGTAACATCACCTAGTATCAATTTGCATATGTTACATATAATTCTCATGTAACACTCTACCAACAATATGTATCAATTTCTTGTAACACTTCTTGATTTATGGTAACATTTTTATCATTCAACCACAAATAATTTATATTGTTATACCACAAATACCTGAACCGCCCGACCGCTCCTCTCGAACCGAATTGAACCTTCTCGATCACCGGTACCTGCAAAACACACCGGGGTGGTCCCGGCGTGGACACTCCGACACTCAAGTCAGTGGTGGTGTTTCGGAGAGAAAACGGCAGAGTAACGAGGTAATATGTGTATGTGTGTTGTGTAAAATGAATGAACATGTTCCATATATAAATGCTACATTAAATAATCTATTGTAGCACTAATTAGTATCATTTTCTGAATGTTACATATAACCTTCAACTAACACATTTTATGCAATATGTATCAATTTCTTGTAACACCTTTTTGCTTATAGTAGCATTCAATAAATCAATTGTATCTCTTTAATCAATCTTATGTAGCTTTTTATATTGTAACATCACCTAGTATCAATTTGCATATGTTACATATAATTCTCATGTAACACTCTACCAACAATATGTATCAATTTCTTGTAACACTTCTTGATTTATGGTAACATTTTTATCATTCAACCACAAATAATATTTATTGTTATACCACAAATACCTGAACCGCCCGACCGCTCCTCTCGAACCGAATTGAACCTTCTCGATCACCGGTACCTGCAAAACACACCGGGGTGGTCCCGGCGTGGACACTCCGACACTCAAGTCAGTGGTGGTGTTTCGGAGAGAAAACGGCAGAGTAACGAGGTAATATGTGTATGTGTGTTGTGTAAAATGAATGAACATGTTCCCTTTTATAGGTGAGGTCATGTACGGGTTGAAGAGTTCTTATCGATCTAGAAGTCTTCCTTGTGTTTATCTCTAATCTGGGTCAGACATATCCAAAACTCTAGAGTCTTCATCACCACAACTTCTTTGTGACTCGACCATGAAGCCACCTCCAGGCTCTGGTCCCCTCGGCTGAACCCTCTGGCCAAGCCGCCCAGGTGGCGAGGTGCCTAGGTGATCACCTTAGGTCTTCCGCCTAGGTGACCAACCTTAGGTATTCCACCTAACCCACGCCGAGCTATCCTCCGCCTGTCTGGTTGAACCACGCCTAGCTGGTTAAATCATGCCTAGCTAACTGGACTACGCCTAGCTCCCATCCACTAGAGGCACCATGGACGCCCATGCCGAGCTTCCTCACCCATGAGGCGACCACGCCCAACTGTGAGTAAATTCGATCTATGACCGGCCCCTTATGGACCACTACTCATGGCTGTATCATATATATATATGTATTTCATTATGATTTGTCATTTTCTTTCAACTACAACAATTTTTGGTATAAAGTAAATAAAATAACAATAAAAAAGATCAATAAGCAAAGTAGAACAAATAAATATTATAAATAAAGTTAAAATAGTTCTAATATCAATATAAAACATCATAAGGTGGAACAAAATAATGAAAACTTCTATACAAAGGGCGAACAATATAAGGCAAACACCTATTACTAAGAAAAGAACATTGCATTCGCACTGGTCTTTTTTTCTATTACTTCTCGACAAGGTCATCATGGCCATCATCATTTGCTTCACTTACTCCATCTTCATTTCCATCGTCCTAAAATATATTTAATCAATATACCATAAGCAACCTAGAATACATATTTAAACAAACCACCATAAGCAACTTAGAATACCTGAAACCACCATAAGCATCTTAAAATACCTGCAACTTAAAAAAGTCGTACCCTATTCCTCCAAGAATGCTTCCGATGATTGCAATGACAGGCCACAGGATTAACGNGGAGAAGACCACGCGACCTGCCGAGCTGCGAATCCAGATGCCGACGCCGAGCAGGCGAGGCGCGCCGACCCGCCCCTCATCGTCGAGCGCCGAGCTGCCACCATCATGCCCGCGATGCCGAGCTGCCGCGTCGAGTCGAAGGATGCCGATGCCGAGCTGTCCATGGTGAAGAGCTGTCGAGCTCACGCTTCGAGGTACCAACCAAACTTACACAAATACAATGCACCTAGCTACCCCATCACCCACTCACATGTTTTCACCTACCATCCTTCTTTGAAAGTGACATAAAGTAACTTGGTCACCAAGTTTCATTCTCCTCCCTTGATTCAATTTTGAAATGGATGGCCTAGATTAAACAAGACTCACTCAACTCCAACTATAAATATCTATCTCCCCCATTCATCATTTACCACTTCAACTCTTCTCTTCTCCTCCTCTCTTTACTTAATTATTTCTCTCTCTACGAAATGGAGCTCCTAATCTTTTGAGATTCGGTGGTCACCATCCGACGAGCGCACAAAATTCCATTGAGCACTCACACTGCCCCGACAACGAGTTCGCATCACACGACGAGCCCGCGCCGACCTACCGAGCCCGCGTCGCCCTCACGCCCAACCGACGAGCTCGCGCCCTTCTTCAACCGGAAACCACACGGACGTCGGCCTTATCTATCCTAGCACCATGTCGGACAATTTCATGGGTACGCCGACCTCATCTCCTTACTATCGCCTCATGAATATTGTGCAAAATGTTTGTTTATTTATTGTATTTATTTTTCGCATATGCTCGTCACTCGTTGTCCGACTATCACACCCATTAGAGTCCTCAACTTCGACCACAAACACTAGTATCTCATCGCCCACTAGCACTAGTATGCCCTCTCTTACCTCACACTCCACACCTATAGAAAATCTGACCGTCACTTTGGCCCTCCAAGCCTCGTCGACCACAACCTCCAACAAAACAAAAAAGTGTGCCACCCCCTCCCAAGCAATACCATCTAACCCCATCTCCTACTCGGACGACCAGATAGCCGCCCTTGTAAAAAAAATTGAGTTACCCCCAGGATGGGAACTCAGACTCCCACTACCCGGAGACTCATACAAGAATCCTCCACCCGACTTCTATAGCTTCTTCATAGATCAAGCCAACGCCGGACTGAGATTCCCCCTACACCCCGACCTACTCGAATTGAGCAAGTTATATCGCTTTCCCCTGAACCAATTTCCTCCTAATGCGATGCGCTATCTCGTTGGTTTTATCATGACTTGTCGGGCTCGCCTCGACGAGTTTGACCCAGAACTATGCTTCTATTGTCTCAATCTCCAATCCTCGAACAACACTTCACCCTACCTCATGCCCCGCAATAGTGCCAAATTCTTAAGAAACCCTAAATCAAAAATTCATAACTGGCAAAACAAATTCTTCTTCGTTCGCCCCCCTTCCAAAATTTCTGACCTCCAATCCGAGTGGCTGGACGAGCTACCGGGTCAGCGAAAGAAACCAAGACGGAACGCCAAATATGACACCCTTATCGCCCAATGGAATAAGACCCTCCTTCACGTGGTGAAGCTGACCACCAATGACCGACTCCTTCGGCACTTCCACCTGTCGAGCTGTGCCGCCGACCCCGTGAGTGATATAGGTAGGCTTCGACGCCACAAGTTGTCGTCATATCGCTTACTGTTTCCTTTATGCTAGTCCTACTCATATGACTTGTTTACTTATATTTTTTCTTTCCTTGTAATTGTCATGCAGCGGAACTTCTCCAGACCTGCGCTGCCCCCCCTGCCAAGTCCACAGAAGCAGCGCCTACTCCCCCCAAAGCGCCAGCGCAGGAGGTGGACAACCTTGCCCTGGACCAGGTCCCCGAGCGCCGGGTCTACCGAGAGCATCCGACGAGGTCCTTCAAGCGTAAGAAGACTTGCGCTAAAGAGGGGACCACATCGGGACAAGGCGCCGAGGTGACCACCGACACCCAGCGGGCCAAGAAGCCAACTCGATTTGCCGGGAACAAGGACGTATCGGTAACCAGCTCTTACCTCCTCGACATTTTTCCGAAGGGCGAGACAACACAATGGCCTACCAAGAAGAGTCGAGCCGAGACGATTACCTACAACCTTGGTCTGGTATGACTCTATCATACTTAACTTACACCTTTATTAAA